GATTGGGCCTGCACCAAAAAACCCTAACCCGAATTGAATTCGAGCAGGCTTTCGATTGATGTCTCGAGTTTCCGAGTTCAACCCGAACCCGACAAATTTAAAATATTTATAAAGCATTAGCACTAGGGTTTCATTTTTGCTCTCTACATCAGCACCTCTCTCATTCTCAGCCCTCTCTCATTCTCAGCCCCTCCGTCTCTCAGCATCTCCATCTCTCAACCTCTCTCCATCTCTTAGCCTCTCTCCATCTCTCAGACTCTCTTACTCCCTCTATGTGCTGAAGACCGCAACAATGGTTGCATCTCACCAGCACATGCTAACAGTCACATGCAAGGCACAAAGGATGCACTACAACAAAAATTATTTTTTGCAACGTTTTTTTGTGCGACGAATCTTAAATCATTGCAAAAAAGTATACTATCCGCGACGTTTTAATAATTTTGTCGCAAAAAATGTATTTTTGGGAGTTTTTTGCAACGTTTTTAAAAAACGTCGCGAAAAGGTGTTTCTCTCCAATTTTTTTTTGGCACGAGAAATGGCGGGAAAATAAGATTTTTTACGACCAAAAATTTTTGTCTCCAAAAGTTTTAATTCGTCGCAAAAATAACGAATATAAAATAAAAATAAAAATAATCAAAATAATTCGCGATATTTTCATTTTTCATCGCAAAATATTAATTTTCCTTATTAAAAATTAATGAAATATTAATATCAATTTGCGACGTTTTTCACAATTCGTCGCCAAAAAAAAATTTATTTTTTTGAATCCAATGTNCTTTAGAATAAACCTTGACCTACCTACTTTTCCGCTCTTTACATGATAAAATAAAGATACTTGGCTTTCCTGCCAATGTTGAGAAAGCGAAGGGAAGAGAGGGAAAAGATATAGGTCAACGTTATGATATTGAAAAAGAATATTTAGGTACCATGCTAAAAGGATGAATTGTTCATTAATATTTATGATTCAATTGTAGTTATGTATTGGCTAAAAGGAGAAGGTATTGTATAAAAAATAACTTTTTTGATATCATAGTTAACCTTGAAAATGAGAGGAAGAAAAAAGACGGCAGGTGGTGTATGAGAAAAGACGAAGGAGGCAGTCAAAAAAAGGGCAGATGCAGAGAAGGGAAGAGAGAGAAAGGGGGAAAGAATCATAAAAAGGGGAGTCGGGGTGAGGTGGGAGAAATAAGGAAAATATAGGAAAAAAGTATGAGAGAGAATGGTGCAAAAGACATTTTTCTCTATACAAGGGGTTAGATTGTAGACATTTATCAATTGCTTAGAACTAAAACGAAGTGTGATACAACATGTTGGGTCACCGACAATCATACACTCTCAAATATTAGACCTAAATTTAAAATATAGATAAAGGAACATATCTTTAGATTAGCGGTGCAACTTGGGCGGGCCAACTCGAATTTAACCCAAGTCCAACCCAAAAACAATAGGATTTGGGTTGAAATTTTTAATACTTAGATTGGGCCTGCACCAAAAAACCCTAACCCGAATTGAATTCGAGCAGGCTTTCGATTGATGTCTCGAGTTTCCGAGTTCAACCCGAACCCGACAAATTTAAAATATTTATAAAGCATTAGCACTAGGGTTTCATTTTTGCTCTCTACATCAGCACCTCTCTCATTCTCAGCCCTCTCTCATTCTCAGCCCCTCCGTNATTGATGTCTCGAGTTTCCGAGTTCAACCCGAACCCGACAAATTTAAAATATTTATAAAGCATTAGCACTAGGGTTTCATTTTTGCTCTCTACATCAGCACCTCTCTCATTCTCAGCCCCTCCTTCTCTCAGCATCTCCATCTCTCAACCTCTCTCCATCTCTTAGCCTCTCTCCATCTCTCAGACTCTCTTACTCCCTCTATGTGCTGAAGACCGCAACAATGGTTGCATCTCACCAGCACATGCTAACAGTCACATGCAAGGCACAAAGGATGCACTACAACAAAAATTATTTTTTGCAACGTTTTTTTGTGCGACGAATCTTAAATCATTGCAAAAAAGTATACTATCCGCGACGTTTTAATAATTTTGTCGCAAAAAATGTATTTTTGGGAGTTTTTTGCAACGTTTTTAAAAAACGTCGCGAAAAGGTGTTTCTCTCCAATTTTTTTTTGGCACGAGAAATGGCGGGAAAATAAGATTTTTTACGACCAAAAATTTTTGTCTCCAAAAGTTTTAATTCGTCGCAAAAATAACGAATATAAAATAAAAATAAAAATAATCAAAATAATTCGCGATATTTTCATTTTTCATCGCAAAATATTAATTTTCCTTATTAAAAATTAATGAAATATTAATATCAATTTGCGACGTTTTTCACAATTCGTCGCCAAAAAAAAATTTATTTTTTTGAATCCAATGTAGTATTTTGCAACATTTTATATTTTTCGCAGAATGTATATTAATTAATTTTAAATTAGACTTAAAATGTTTTTTTGCAACGTTTTTGAAAAACGTCGCAAAAAAGTCATATTCTCTCAAATTTTTTTGGTGTGAGAATGGCGGGAAATTAAGATTTTGTACGACAAAAAATTGTTGTCGCAAAAAGTTTTAATGCGTTGCAAAAATAAGGAATATAAAATAAAAAATAAAATCAAAATACATAATTCATGACATTTTATTTTTTCGTAGCAGAATATTATTTTTCCTTATGAAAGAGTACTGAAAGTTAATGTCAACTGGCGATGTTCCTTAGAATTCGTCGCAAAAAAATAAATTTTATTTTTTTTGAATCCAAAGTAATATTTTGCTATATTTTTATATTCGTCGCAGAATGTAAATTAATTAATTTTAAATTAGACTTAAAATATTTTTTTGCGACGTTTTTGAAAAACATCTTGAAAAGGTCATATTCTCTCAAATATTTTTGGCGTGAGAAATGGAAGGAAATTAAGAATTTTTACGACAAAATATTGTTGTCGCAAAAGTTTTAATTCGTCTCAAAAATAACGAATATAAAATCAAAATACATAATTCGCGACGTTTTCTTTTTTCGTTGCAGAAGATAAATTTTCTTTACTAAAGTTTAATGAAATGTTAATGTGAATTAGCGACATTTCTTAGAATTCGTCGCAAAAAAATACATTTTATTTTTTTCCAATTCAAAGTAATATTTTCGCGACATTTTTATATTCGTCGCAGAATATAAATTAATTAATTTTAAATTAGACCTAAAAAAATTTTTTGCGACAAAAGTTGTTTCACTCCAAATTTTTTCTGGCGCGAGAAATGGCGGGAAATTAAGATTTTTTACAACAAAAAATTGTTGTCACAGAAAGTTTTAATTCGTCGCAACAATAACGAATATAAAAAAAACAAATAATAAACACAAAATACATAATTCACTATGTTTTCTTTTTTTGTTGCAGAAGATAAAAGTAATTAAAGTTAATGTCAATTGGTGATGTTTTTTACAATTCGTCACAAAAAAATAATTTTTTTTTTAATCCAATGTAATATTTCGCGACATTTTTATATTCGTCGCAGAAAGTAAATTTATTAATTTTAAATTAGACTTAAAATATATTTTTGCGACGTCGCGAAAGGGTGATGTTCTCTCAAATTTCTTTGGCGCTAAACCCACACCCCCACAACCTTTCCCCTAAAATTCACCATCACCCCCTCTGTGAAACCCATCGCCTACCCAGATGCATCCACCCACTCAGATGCACACACACACAGATGCCCAAATGCACACACACAAGCACAGATTCATACATATAGAGAGAGAAATGTTAAAATCAACAACAATATACTCTAGAAACCCAAAACCACCCAACCCACCCTCAACCTCGAAATCCACCCCCACTCCACCCCATCCCCATCCCCGAAATCCACAGCCATCCAATCCACCCCCATCCCCAAAAACCCACCACAACCCAAACTCACCACCACCCAAACCCACCATTACCAACCAACCCCACCACCACTCCCCAAAATCAATCATCACCATCAAAATAGAGAAGGTTGAAAGAGAGAGTGAGAGCGACAGAGGGAGAGGGGGGAGATGGCATCTGGATCCTTCTACTTTGGCTTCTTTTTGTCTTCGTCTGACTTCGGCTTCGACTTCGTCTCTAATAGAGAGAGAGAGACGACAAAGATATGAGAAGTTAAAGAGAGACATGGCCTTTTATATACTCAAACAAAAAAAATCATATTTTGTTGTTAAGGAGGATCGAAGTCCAGACCTCATTAAATGACTAGCGCGTTTTTTTTTTATATTTTCAAAAACATCTTTTTAGATGTTTTTATATTTTAACCTTATTTTTAAAATAGAGCAATTAAAAAAACAAAAACATTCGGCAAACATGTTTTTATTTTTTTTTGCCATAAAATGAAAACAAAAAAAAAAATAAAAACAAAAAAGAGGTGTAACCAAATACTACCTAAATGACGACGTTTTTATCTTCGCCGCATAATATAATTTTTGAAAAATTCAGTTTAACGTCGATTTGGGAATTTTTTTAAAAAAAATTAAATCAAATCAAATTGTGACACAGTACTCTTATTTTATTTTTGGAAACGCCTGAATCATTCTCTGTCTCTCTATCGGCGCCCCCTCTGTGTTCTCTATCATTCTCTCTTTCCCCATCTTTTTTTTTTTCCTCCCTGCCAGCTACGTCATACATATCTCNTAAAATGAAAACAAAAAAAAAACAAAAACAAAAAGGAGGTGTAACCAAATACTACCTAAATGACGACGTTTTTATCTTCGCCGTATAATATAATTTTTGAAAAATTCAGTTTAACGTCGATTTGGGAATTTTTTATAAAAAAATTAAATCAAATCAAATGGTGACACAGTACTCTTATTTTATTTTTGGAAACGCCTGAATCATTCTGTCTCTCTATCGGCGCCCCCTCTGTGTTCTCTATCATTCTCTCTTTCCCCATCTTTTTTTTTTCCTCCCTGCCAGCTACGTCATACATATCTCCCCCATATCTCTCCGCCAGTGAGCCCTAGAACACCGCCAACCATCGAACACAGTCAGCGACGCCATCGAACACTGCCGCCGGCGACACCATCCCAGTTGACACACATAAGTCGACACACAGTACTCTCTCTCCCTCTTTGATTGGGGCTGTGATTAGGAGAAGACAGTGGAAGGCGGTGAAGCCGGTCTTCTCTTCTTCTCCAGTCCAGACGACGCACAGGCACAGGCACAACCAGCAACTCCTCAACTTAGCTCTCGAACTCTCCAGTCCAGACGCACAAGCATTTGATTTGGGTCTGTAAGTCTTCTCTTCTCTTCTCTTCTCTGTCTCTCTGTCTCTCTCTCTCTCTCTCTCTCTCTCTCTCACACACACACACACACACACACAGCCCAACCAATCTGTCTCTACAACATAGAGGAAGGCTGTAAACTAATGTTTACGTCACTATTTATAGCCCAACATAGTTACTAAAACATTACCGTTTGCTACCAAAATTTGACATCAGCCACTAAACAAGCCATACAGTGGAAATTTAATGGTTATAGGTACAGGGTCTTGTGGAAAGGGGGAAAAAAAGAGAAGAAGAGGAATGAAATTTTCCTGAAAATGAATTCGAATGAATTAACTCATATCCCTACATATAATACTCAAACTCAATTAAACAAAACCTTGTACCTGTTACATTATTTCAGTATTAGGGGTGGTTTAATCCTGTTCCATTTTCGCTTTGCACTGCTATGTATCTTTTCCCTTATGTTGTTTCTGCATTTAGTCTGGGCTGATGCTGTGCTGAGGTAGACTGAAGGCATGGAGTTGATCTGTATTGGGGTTTTGCTTTTGCAATAGGATGTTGTTGGTATGTGGCTGGAAGTTAATTACCTTTAATTCTTTTGGAGGATTAAAGCCAGCTCTAGTGGTGTTGCACATCTCTGGGACTGTATGCTGAATAGTGCTGCTTTGCTGCTGCGTTACTGTACTGCAAGAACAGCAGTTGCAATATTTTAAAAAGAAGATTGGAAGAGGTCCAAAGGTTCAGGTGCTGAGCTGTGGCAAGGGGATAGAAGCTGGGCCTTGAGGCCTTGAATATAGTTGTACAAAAATTTACTGTTTTTGCCATGGTAACAGTTTTTTCTGTTTTGTTGATTAAATCAGTTACTGTTTTTTCTTAAAACAGTTTCTGATTGTTGATTCTTGTAATTCTTGAATTTCAATTAATAAAATTTTCCTTTTTCTTAAAAAGAAAAAAAAAAAAAGCTGCCGATGCTGATAGGTAACTAAATTTTTGAAAATTTACGTAGGTCGCCTAGTCCACAACACCAATGTACGACTCTGTTTCTCTAACTGTGCAAAAACACACACTTCAACACTATCATAGGAATTTTATTCCAGATTATTCTAGACAGTTGCATTGATATTTCTTTTCCATGTATCCTTTTTGTAGGTCTTTCTTGTTGTTGCCGAAAGAAATAGATTCAGCTTTTGATGTTCTCAAGGAAATTTTAAAACCTGTAGTTGATGGAGAGAAAGAGATTCCTTGGCCTCCTAGAGATCCTGAGGCAGTCATTCTCACGAAGAAAGTATGTTATGTTTTCTACTTGGTTGATTTTTTTTTTTTTTTGCCTTGTCAATATTTAGTTCTGAGACTTTCAGGGAAGCTATAATTGTTTAATTGTTCAATAAGATTGAATTTCATGGTAGTGAAAAATTCCAGAATTGATTTCTTCTGCTATTATTTGTATTATAGATTTAGCATGAACCTATGCCGTGTTCCTTGGAACATGCCATATATCATTTGCACCTAATGTGGGTACTTATCCTTTTTTCCTGCCTGGGAATATATCAATTTGTAGCCTGGTTGTTATCATATTCAATTGTTAACGCCGAGGAATGGTACAAACTTGATGTATTATGTTTAGGTAGTACAGGANGTGTTCCTTGGAACATGCCATATATCATTTGCACCTAATGTGGGTACTTATCCTTTGTTCCTGCCTGGGAATATATCAATTTGTAGCCTTGTTGTTATCATATTCAATTGTTAACGCCGAGGAATGGTACAAACTTGATGTATTATGTTTAGGTAGTACAGAATGTAGTTAGGCAAGCAAGTATTTTTCGGTGCAATCCATGAAATATTAGGTTTTAAAATAGAGACATAACTTATTATTTTAGGGCCTTGAATGATATCTATTACTGTCGAAAAGAGGTCATGTATATTTTAATTCCATTACTAAATGTAATTGATTCATCAAAACAAATAAGCAACTTATTTAGCACAAGCACATAACTTGTCAGAAAAAAGAAAGCTAGTACAAGCGTCCATGGTGATGAGAGACAAGGTAGGATGTGCCCACTGTTCGTACAAGGCACACTTTTTAGTTTTAGTTACGTTGGGTTCTTTTTGATTATAACACAAGAACTGGGTAGGGGGAAGACCGAAGACATGATCATCTAATTGATGGTTGATTGAAAAGGGACATCAAAGAGGCCATTGGTCCATTGGTTTTTTTTTTTAGTAGACTTTCTAATTGGTACATCTTGTGTTCAGTTTCTCGTGTCATCTTTCACTAACTATCAATGTGTTTACAGATGATTGAAAGTAGTGACCAAGGTGACGAATATGGAGTGATCTTTTAACTTGTAGGCTTAAAGTTATTTGTTGTTCTCAAAATAGAATACTCATCTTTGTTTTTTATTCTCTCACTCTTTTTGATTGCTGCTGGGGAAGGTATTTTTGGGCCCACCCTCCTTGTTTGATTAATTAATATTCGTTTGGTTAAGCTCTTGTTGCTGGTTTTAACCATTGTTCTATGATGGCAGAGCACCGTAATGTTGAATTTGAATAACCGTAATCTGTTGAGGAGCCGTAGTCGCACAATATTTACACTGGTATGTGCGTAAACTTCATGTTCTGATTTTTATCATTCATGATTAATACTAGTTTTTGAAATAACTAATAGGCTGCTCAGATTATCTTGCTTGTTAATATGATGAGATAAATTGTATGTTGATTTGAAATTGATAAGACTCCTNTTGAAATAACTAATAGGCTGCTCAGATTATCTTGCTTGTTAATATGATGAGATAAATTGTATGTTGATTTGAGATTGATAAGACTCCTCCACATAGGATTGAAATAGCACAGTTAGACCAATGAGTGATGTTTGTTGAACCAAGAATTCTCTTGAAGTTGAGGGGCACAGACGAGTTGATAACATAGGGTTGCAGATGAGTTGACATCACTTGCTCCTGTAGATGTGAGTCTTTGAGGTAGACTCCAGAGTAATAATTCAGAAAGAGTTACTACATTGGTTCAAATATTTGCGACGACTTAAGCCTCTTTCTTAGGGCGTTTAAAGAGCGTTACTTTTTAAGTGTAAATGTCACATTATTGGAAGTTTTTTCTATATAGTTTCTTTTGGAAGTAAAAAAGGCATGGCCTCATGGACTAATTAGGATGGAATCGATTGGCACAAGATCAAGTCCATCAAAGAACACTGTGAAGAGATCTGGAACTTGTTTGAATATACCAGAAACTTGTATGGAATAAAGTAAATTGTAATTAAAAAAAACAGTCATGAAAGCAGATAATAAGATAAACCATAATTAACTAACAAGAAGCCAATAACTCAGGTGATTCTATATGCAGTCAACTTTGCTATCACATATTGCTTAACCTTGTCAATTTAGTTGTGTTAGCTGCTCATTAACGCATTGTTCTATTGCAGTATGTGGCTATGCCCTTTTGTATATACTTCTCTTCTACTTTTTCTATCCATTTTTCATTTTCACTCTCGGCATTAAGCATTTCTTCACTTGAAATGCTTGCTATCACTAATGAGAGTTCAATATCTTTTGACCGGTAAGTGTCCTAGGCTTTGTCGACTACGCTGCCCTGATGAATTTCCCACAATTCTAGAAAGTGTTGATCTACTATCCTTCTCGTTTTCTTCAGTTTCATTAGCCTCTAATGTTCTTGGAGAAGTTCCTTCTCAAGATAATCGGTTCATCATATTAGACTCTATTTGTACATTTTTCAACTAGATGTTTTGAATCATCCTGACTAGATTCTATGTATTTGTAACATTTCGGGTTCACAAATTATATATCCTGTATTTTCAGAACTAGTCTTCTTAAAATGTTCGAATTTTGTGACATCCAGACTTTGTTTGCATCGACGTTTCACAGATCAAAAGTTCCCTAGTTGACCATTATAGTGATTTATATGACTGGTAACTCATTGTAACTAGAAGTTTTGATCATTTTCTTGCCAGTACAAGCCAAAAGCCCAAAATCTTGGCTGTGCATACTGTCCAATCTTAAAGGTTACCTTTTTTCAGTCTTAATCCAGCAAAATGAGATGTACAATTCTGTACACAGACAGATGGGTCAGAACCAGCTAACCCTTGGGCCCTTCCTCAAGAGTTGATAGCATAATTTAGCCAAGAGTTTGGTTAATAAGTTTGGTGAACATGAATTCACAGAACTAAACAGTGGACTAATGAAGCTGCTGGTTTGATTAACATCCCAAAATCAAAAGCAACACCCAAAAGATAAATATTTTTTCGAAAACTAAAACGATGTCAAAAAGAAACCATTATATGTTAGGAAGAGTAAGCTTCCACAGTCTACCAACTACAGCATTTTTCGAAAGACAAAGCATACGATAAGAGAACCATAGCTGAGAAGAAATTTTTGGGTTATGTGAGAAGGTCTTTGTTTTACTTCGATCGTAATTGGCTAAGTCAATACCCGAACCTATTTCCTTTGCAGGATGATGCTTCTTTGCCAACACCAAAGAGCAAGGATCATGTAAGGTGCATTCTTGACTTCTTCTCTTGGTTACCATGGTAGTACATAATGCTGAAATATCATTGTCAGGTCTTGTATTTTAGGTTAATATTGTGTAGTGTGTTGTGACTTTACATTAAGAAACATGAATGCAAATTAGAACTATGGAGGACAGGGTATGCAAATTAGAACAATAGTTAGCAGGATCACTATCACAACAACATTTGCTTTTAACTATGATGTTTTGATGCTGTCAGTAACTTTAGTCAGATTTGAATTATTTTGTTTTTTGGGCAATACATCCATACTGCCTTTTTTTATTGAAGTTTGGAGTTTTCTTGAGTAGAATTCTATGTATGGGTTGTCTCATTTAAGAGATACTGTGTTGATGCAGTCTGTTGAAGGAATGAAGCTTGTGTGCCATGATCTAGCAGAGGCAACCAGTGATCCCAAAGGTAGTGCTATGGATGATATTGTCGAAGATGCAGATCATCTTGTTTCTTGCTTGGCAGATAAGGCTAGAACAGATCCAGTTTAACCTTTTTCTGTTGGAATGCTCCTTCAATCAGCTCATCGCTATCATATTTAAAATTATTGTAAACAGTTTTTTTTTTTCTTTTTGCAGCTTGCCAAGACTTTTGACTCTAGTCTGACGGGTGCCTCTTCATGATCTTGTAAATATGTCCTGAACACACTCATGCAAGTAATTTGCTATCCACTTCTTTTTTTGTCGTTTTTCTCTTGTTGCTAATAATGAAAACTAAAGCCCAATTTTTAAAGAGCTATTTTAATTCTTATTTTTTTTGTGTTTCTGTTTCAGACATTTCAAAATAAACAGGTAGCCCATGGTGTCTAGGAGAGTACCCTCAAAAGTCTTATTACTGAGCTCTTGGTTTGGCTTTTTGATGAAAGGGTTCCCAGGATGGACGATTGCAGCCAACTTCTGCAAGCTTTGAATGTTCTGATGCTGAGATCCTGGTAACATTGATCTCAAAAATGCATCTTTTTTAATTGCTATCTGTGTGTGAATTACATCTTTGTTGAGCTTAGAGATGATATTTCAAGGCATGGAGCTGGACTGCTGAAGCTGTTTAAGTATTAGAGACATTAAATGTAATTAGAGATGGTTTAAATCCTCTTGAACGATTAAAGTCATTTTTTCTATTTTTAGAACTTCTTGTTCTTTGATTTTTGTAATTCATTCTTTTTGGAAATAAAATTTTGTTTTCTAAAAAAAGATGTAAAATGTATGTTGAATGGACAAGATGTGAAATGTATCAATTGTGTTAGATTTTTATTGAACACAAGTATTATTGGTGTACAGGTAAAAATTTTATTGGAATAATAGTTTTTATGAATTATTTTTTTAAAAAAATGAACTTTTTTGAGACAATTAAAATCGTCCAGAAAAATTATAGGAATCATCTTTTTCGCGACGATTTTAATTCGTTGCAAATGTATTCATTCAATTATTATTTACATTTTATATTTATGTAAAAACCTATTTGCGACGAGTTTTTTACGTTGTTAACAATTAATTAAATTATTATTTATTATATTTTTTTGTAAAAAAATTATTTGCGACGATTTTTTTACGTCGCTAAAAATTATTTAAATTATTTTTTTACATTTTTTATTTATGTAAAACAATATTCACAACGATTTTTTTAAGTCGCTAAAAATTAGTTAAATTATTTTTTTGCATTTATTATTTATGTAAAAACTTATTAGCGACGATTTTGTTACGTCGCTAAAAATTAATTAAAGTATTATTTTTTACATTTTTATTTATGTAAAACTTATTCGTGACGACATTTTTACGTTGCTAAAAATTAATTAAATTATTATTTTTTATTTTTTAAGTTGGTGGAATATATTTTAACTACGTTTTTTAAAATATTAGCGACGTTTTTTTTCGTCGCAAAATTTTTTTTTTTCGAGGATAATAAATTTGCGTTACAAAACACTTTCTGCGACGAGCCTATTGCGACGAACACGCGATGAAAAAAAAACCGTCACAAAAAATAATTGGCGACGATTTTTTTTTTAATTTAGCGACGAAAAATATCATCACAAAAAATAATTTTTGTTGTAGTGATGGAGTCAGGTGCGAAGACTGAGCTCCAACCCCGAATAGCTCAACCATATTCCTTATTTTTCGATCAAACTAGTTCGAGGTATTTGGGGAAGGAAGTTCTACATTCCTTGCCACCTAATTTGAAAAGAAACTATAAGGCTCCAACAGTAACAGGAGTCAGGCCTATAAAGGGGAGAGAGTATTTGCTTCGAAGGTAAGCAACTTTTTTCCCAACTGAAAACCATTTTCCATATCAAACATTTACTAACTTTATCATTTGATGATCGACCATCGAAGCCCTTTCAATTCTGGACTTCTGTGCAGGTACTCGTCGGTGATTGCCAAGTCATCATCTATCCTAGAGCCCTTTTTGGGATCAACAGTTGATTCCGTATGTGGGAATCAACTTGATTTCTAACATTAAATCCAAATTTCATGGCGATCACAAAAGAGCATCCAAGGATCCTACAGTCGATCAGACGCAAGAACGTCCTAACTCCCACACAACGGGGCGAAGGAATGCGCCCCCACCAGAAAAGGAATCCGCAAAGGTCAAAAGATTGAAGAAAAATAATAGTTGGCGCCGTCTATGGGAATCGGACTTGATTTCCGATATTAAATCCAAGTCCCATGGCAATCACAAAAAGCATCCAAAGATTCTACAGTCGATCAAATACAAGAACGTCGTAACTCCTATACAACGGGGTGAAGGAATGTGCCCCCACCAGAAAAGGAATCTGCAAAGATCAAAAGATTGGAGAAAGGTCACACGCACACAAACACACAAAGTATATAACACGCACACAGAGTGTAACACACAGACACATACCAGCACACACAACACATTGGTTTAATATTTTGGGTGTTTTGTATTGGTTTAATATTTGTGAAAATTGGGGTTAAATTCTTTTGGATGGACTTCTAATGACTTGAGTCCGTCAAAGAAATTTATTTAGTGATAAGTCTGTTTTTTATCTTACTAATAAGAACTTAAGTCTACTATTTTCTAAAATTCCAATAATATCTTTATCAGTGTTATTCTGTTCAATTATAAAAACCTTAAATACCTTGAAAGTAGCTTTAAATTAATTTCTTAAATTAGAATTTATTATCCCTTAATTCTCTCATAAATTAAAATTCAAATTTATATTCTCTCTCTCTTTCTTTAGAAGAAAATCATCACTCTAGTACAACAAATCTTTTTCCTTAGATATCACTTCTTCCTNTAGTGATAAGTCTGTTTTTTATCTTACTAATAAGAACTTAAGTCTACTATTTTCTAAAATTCCAATAATATTTTTATCAGTGTTATTCTGTTCAATTATAAAAACCTTAAAGATCTTGAAAGTAGCTTTAAATTAATTTCTTAAATTAGAATTTATTATCCCTTAATTCTCTCATAAATTGAAATTCAAATTTATATTCTCTCTCTCTTTCTTTAGAAGAAAATCATCACTCTAGTACAACAAATTTTTTTCCTTAGATATCACTTCTTCCTCCATAACATCAAAATCAGTAGGGTTTGAAATATCATCAACAACTATCATATCTTCTACTGCGTTCTGGTTATCATGAACTTCTATGACGTTGGTTTTAAGAAAAAAATGGTTGAAAAACTTGCTCATTGTGTTATTAGTTTGGTTCCCAATTTTTTTTTGTTTTGTTGAAAAATAATCCCCAAAATTTTTCAATACTTCATCTTACTACGTTTTTTGTTGATCATTTTAATATTTTTTCTAATTGACCGTATTACTATTTTTTTTCATGTTATTATTTTTTATTGAACGTGTTATTAATTTTTCAGTGTTACTTTTTTGGATGGTGAAGAATTGGAGACTTTTTCATTTNTCTGGTTATCATGAACTTCTATGACGTTGGTTTTAAGAAAAAAATGGTTGAAAAACTTGCTCATTGTGTTATTAGTTTTGTTCCCAATTTTTTTTTGTTTTGTTGAAAAATAATCCCCAAAATTTTTCAATACTTCATCTTACTACGTTTTTTGTTGATTATTTTAATATTTTTTCTAATTGACCGTATTACTATTTTTTTTCATGTTATTATTTTTTATTGAACATGTTATTAATTTTTCAGTGTTACTTTTTTGGATGGTGAAGAATTGGAGACTTTTTCATTTGATTATGAGTTTGAATGCTACTATTTTTATTTTCAATTTTGTTCAATGTTCCATATTGCTTTTTTTTTTTTTGGTTGAGCATGTTACTGTTTTTGTTAAGTATGTTACTATTTTTGTTGAACAAGTTACTATTTTTGTTGAACATGTTACAATTGTTATTTTTTAAAAATATTATTATTTAATGTTACTATTTTCTTATGGTTAAATGTTACTATTTTTTTTTGTTTTTAAATGGTATTATTTTTTGTGTATTTTTTATTTGAATGTTACTATTTTTTATTTTTAATGTTACTATATATGAGAGAGAGATATAGTCCTAATTTATATATCGATATAAATAGATATGAGAGAGAAATTTTTTTTAAGTTAATCAAACACCTAAGATTTAAGAGTTTTTAATTTTTAATTTATTTCACTTCTAAAAAGAAGGGATAGTCTCGTAAAATTGACAAAAAATAGACTTCATAACAAATAAGTTCTCTTGGCGGATTTAAATTCAAGTAAGTCCATATAGGGAGACCGGCCTCCAAAATTTCCTTAATATTTTGGGTGTTTTGCATTGGTTTGATATTTTTGGGTGTTAGTTTGGGTGTTTTCTTATATTGGTTTGATAAGGTTTGCAAGAAATTAATTTGGAAAATTATAGTTGTTAGTAGCATTTTTTTATTTTATTTAATGTTAGTGTTATGGTTTTGAAATTCAATGTTAGGATTATTTTGATTGCGTTTAGGTTTTGATTTTCAAATTGTGTAATTGGAAGTCATGTTTGCGATTGAATGTTTGGGGTATTTTGATAGAAGTGGGTTGGATCAATGATGGTGGTTTGATTGGATTGGTTTAACAAATTTGGTTTCATTCTCCATTTTGTATAGATTTGTAAATGTTTTACTAATGTAATTATTATTCTTTGAAACTGTAACCATTTTTCCCTCATATCCCATCAATTTGATTTCTGTTGTCGAACTGCCTTGCAGATTTTGTGTTGTATGATTGTTGAAAAGAAGTTTGCAATGTTTGAGACGAAGAGTAACCTCATCCAACCCCATTCCAAACCTTTCCTACAAAGGTTGACGTTAGTTTCTTGTACTCTTTCGTACAAATTTTCGATTAATTGAATTAATATGGTAGTGTTTTGTTCTAGCAGTGATAGAGTTAAAGTGGGATGCACAGGTATGCGATGAATCAACTGATAACATTCATGATGTTTAGAGTGGAAACAAACATTTGGTTTGAAGTGGTTGCAGTAAATAGGTGAAGAGTGATTCTTTCATGCCACGAATTTTTTTAGAACTTGACTATATTGGTTGGACAAAGGAAGGATCACTTACTTCTCTTAGCTCTTTCATTAGCTGTTTAGTGGATATTTCCAATGTTTTGTTTTTTTTTTTGTAAATTATAGCTCATGTTTAATCAACTATTAAGTTTTTTTATGGATTGTATTGCATTTTGAAGTTAGATACGTGCATGAAGGAATTTGTTGGATGATTTGGTTGGCATTTAGGATTTTTAATTTAAACTTTTGATTTGGTACCCACGTGCGCGTGTTATNTCAAGTAAGTCCATATAGGGAGACCGGCCTCCAAAATTTCCTTAATATTTTGGGTGTTTTGCATTGGTTTGATATTTTTGGGTGTTAGTTTGGGTGTTTTCTTATATTGGTTTGATAAGGTTTGCAAGAAATTAATTTGGAAAATTATAGTTGTTAGTAGCATTTTTTTATTTTATTTAATGTTAGTGTTATGGTTTTGAAATTCAATGTTAGGATTATTTTGATTGCGTTTAGGTTTTGATTTTCAAATTGTGTAATTGGAAGTCATGTTTGCGATTGAATGTTTGGGGTATTTTGATAGAAGTGGGTTGGATCAATGATGGTGGTTTGATTGGATTGGTTTAACAAATTTGGTTTCATTCTCCATTTTGTATAGATTTGTAAATGTTTTACTAATGTAATTATTATTCTTTGAAACTG